TAGTTACGTAAAAAGGTTTTTTCCATCACTTTTTGAGAGTGTTGTCTTTATCACAGACAGAAGCATGCTCAGAGAGAAAAAGATAGAAGCCGCATACATATAAAGATGCTGAAATGGAAACAGTTGCACTAGGTTTATGACATAATATATTTGAAGCACTTCTGAATATGAGCGTGTTGACATTAATAACTGAGCATTCAGAACATCTGACCTGACATAGCACACATCCATGCTATTACTGCACGTACTATTCACAGCAAGCATATATGAACATTTTAAGCAGTCGCTGTCAGCATTTCAGTCAGTACTAGGTTCTACTGAAGACTCAATGACTTTTTGACAGAAACAAAGAAAAATGTCTTGTACTACTGTACAAAAAAAACACTTTTGTACTATTTTCAAGCAAAAAAAAAAAATGTAATAAAAGTATGTATTGTGGTAAAAAAATACATTTTTAAAAAATGTCATATGGTGTTACAAACAAGCCAAAAGTAATAACATGTTGGTTAAACCTTCTAAAATCATTCTCTCTAATCAAACATTCTTATCATTTCTTATCAAACATCATTATTATAGTAAGTAAACAGCACATACATATAGAATAGGATTGTAAAATAAAGTGCTACCTGTTCAGTATTTTTCAATGTGAAGTATTTATATATTTGTGTATATTGTGGAGAATATACAGGCAAAACGAGAGATGCATTCATACAGGTCAAACAGACAGTTTCACTTCAGCATTTGACAGGAAGAAAAAAAAAAAGAAAAATTTCTGCAGTTTAACGAAGCGACCCCAGGGGTGGCATGGCTTCCGGAAAAGCCAGCTATGCACAAACAGACAGAAGCGTTGCACATATCTTTAGGCGAGGGCTGAGTAACAGTGGCCTGTAGCACACACCCTGGGCAACACACAACCACTTTGTGTGGTTATGTCAATAAGATTTCCATGCCAGTGTTTAATAATAGCGCAAAACCACACGATTATTTCTGAAATGAGAAACGGACCACACCCTGATGTTTTTATTTTTGATTTTATTCTTCGTTACTGTAACAATTGAAGCCCCACAGCAGGCTAAATAACATGTGAATCATCATTTGTAGCACATAACCAATACAACGCAGGAGAAAACGAACCACGCGTGTGGCACGACTCTGTCACATATCCAGCACTAAACGGAAACACTTGCTGATTAAAAGCGAGGATGCAGTTTGGTTAGTTTAGATTGCCGCTGACTAACAACATTATGAGCACAGCTGAAGGGTGAGGACAGGCGCTCCCTTCACAGATTTACGGCTGTGTTATGTTCCATCTGGCTTTGGCTTCTTTCCGACAGGGTGACCGCGGACATCTGAGGGCTGCTATCTCTACAGCGAGCCAGATGAACGCTTGCTGTAAGTAATATTAATGAGGAGCCAGCCTCTTCAAAACAGAGCCTTTACTTTTCAGAAATAGGTTGAAAAAAAGTCTAAGAGTATATGGTTGCATATCACAAAGGAAAAAAGTTCAAATCAACCCCATGCACTACAAAGATGAAGAAGCATCTACATATGCACAAGAAAGATAAGTGCAAAATCATAAGGTCTACTAAAAATGGACTTCATGTGGACTATATGAATCTAAACTTTGATTACTAAAAAAAAAAAAAGATTGGACATAATATTCTGATAAGGATTTGAGCTTTCCAACAGTGAACAGCTAAAACTAGTGTAATCTGCTGAGACAAATATAATCTCTTGTCGCTCCTGTGTGAAAATAATTCGAATGCACAAGGTTAACGTGTCCAGATTGGACACAATCCCGTAAATAAGATGTTGAGGAATCGACAGAGGATAAAAGAGATTGACAGACAGAAGTAACTAGTACACACCAAAAGTCTTGGCAGGACAAACACTTCACAACAGTCCTAAGTTTTTAATTGACCAGCTGATTAGCGGCCACCAATCAATGCCCTTCATGCAAAATAAGACAACAAGCATGCATTTAGAAAGTCATTTTTTGGGTTCTATTTAAATGTCATTTTGACTTCAAGTGCCCTGAGAGGAACAAGAGCCACCTACCAATGTCTGCCCTTTTAACAAATCTGTTTTGGCACTAAAATTTGTATGGAAAATAGTCATATTTCACCTGTTTGACTACTGAAAGTGGCAATATTGGGGACAATATCAAAACAGTATTATGACAACCTTGTGGCAAACTTCATAGCAGTTCTTCTCAGCCAACTGACTTCATTGATAGAGAGAGAGAGAGAGAGAGGTTTAAACTCTTTAAAGGGGTCATATGATGCGATTTAAATTTTTCCTTTCTCTTTGGAGTGTTACAAGATTTTCAACATCAGGTTATAGGGATGTCTAAAATGCACCCCATGTATGGAACTCTTTTGTGCTTTTTCGCCAAATGGATTGAAGTCATTCCACTCAGAAAAGCATTGGGAAGTTATAGAACTGCTCTCTGTATTTCTAGCAATAAAGATATGACGTTTCAGAGATATTCCATTTGAGATCCAGTCAATCATGGGGCTGGGCCAAAAAAAAAAAAATTCCAAACTTTGTAGAAGTTTAGATACTTGCTTGAGGGTTTTTGTGTGTGGAATTGGCAGCAAGCAAAGCATTGCACACCACCTCTGTTTTCTGTGGAGTGATTCAGAATACTGATGCATCAGTGAATAGCTTTTTCCCCCACTTTTAGTACAACATGCTATGACAGAAAGCCAGCTCACAGCCAGCGCCCTGTTTTTAACATAGCCATCCTATTATTCCCATCTCCATCTTTGGAGAGAATCATGATTGACACTGTAAGTGGAGACTGTGTGAAGAGAGAACAGGCCTCTGTTGACCATCTTAATGAGCCTGTCTTAGAGCCATTCATAAAGCCCACTGTCATTCCCAGACACGCATATGAATGGAGACGAGACCTGAAAATACGCTCCACTGTACGCCAATTAATCCCATCAACATCTGTCGATTAAAGCTCTAATGTGATTGGCAGATTATATCAGTCTAGTAATTCTGGGTTTGGTGCTTCACTGAGGGCAGTGTTTGTGCTACGAGGGTGAGAAAGACTGAACTGGTGTTTGTCGAATAAGGGATCTAATTCTGAGAATCTTTAGATAGTTGAAGGTCTTGTTGACAATGCCATAAGAAGTTGAACTTTTCCACAATTCTGAGTGATGGACAAGAAACTAACCCTCAAAAATGCCAACAAACATGAGAGTTCTATTTTTTAAGTTGTTTTCAAAAGCCTAGTGAGATGTCTACCTACTGTCACAAATAGTCAACAATATATTATGCTATTTTTAAAAACACCTTATTGCGTGTATCCTTTGTGGACAATTCAATACCAGATTGCATTGTGATGCGTTCAGTGAAAAGATTAAACATAATTTAGTCATTCAGTGCGGTGGGGGGGTTGGGATTCAAAACATTTACTTTTTTACCCCATTGTTGAGTGTTTTAAGCATTTTTATATTTTTGAGAGCAACACACTATTAGTGTAGCAACATGCTAACATCAAACTATATTTAAATTAATTGTAAGTTGAATAGCTTTCTACATAAGGGGCATTTAAATGGCATTATTTCAAATAAAAACTGAAAACAAAGTTTTGGGGTCCTGAAAATGCAAACTTTTAAGTTTTTGAAAAAGATAGTGTTATTGTCTCCATGTAAACTACATAAATGCAAATTTGTAAGACCATTGACGTCATACGCATGCATATTATGTGTTCAGTCTATTGGCATATGCGCAGGTGCATAGTGTTTCTTTACAAAGTGACAACTTTACAAGGTGACAACTTTACAAGTCGCCACCTACTGGCCTGGCATGCATAATACAGCGATAGTCATTTTCGAAGATCTATGTGAATAGGGATCATTTTGATAATGTTGTCATCTGTATGCAAAACTTTTCAAAAATGCAAAGGAAAAACGTTTTCGTTTTTAGTACATCGTCAGCGTTTAAACAGTTACCTAGTGTCACTTAGCACAGCTTAGGGCTGGGAAAATAAATCGATGCATTGCAAATCGAGAAATGACTCTGAGAGTTTCCAAATGCATCGCGATTCTTTCTCGAGTCGATTCTGAGCTTATTTGAACAGCAGATGGCGCTGCATGCTATAGAAACAGCCGTACTCCGCTCGTTTCCAAATCCTTACACACACGAATCGAGAAATGACTCTGAGAGTTTCCAAATGCATCGCGATTCTCTCGAGTCGATTCTGAGCTTAGTTTTGAACAGCAGATGGCGCTGCATGCTATAGAAACAGCCGTACTCCGCTCGTTTCCAAATCCTTACACACACTTGAACCTAAAATAATCATTCATAAAATTCAAAAAGGTTGAAGTGAATTACAAGGGTGTTCACAGTGGGCTGTTTACATTAATCTCGCTTCATAAAAGTATTCTGAGCTGAGGTGAAATTACACGACTCAGCCAAATGCACAAGCGGTCTTCTTCATGAGCATTTGAGTGTGCGGATAAAAACTACAGTAGAGCGCCATCTGCTGTTAAAATCTATGCTCAGAATCGATTCCAGAGAGAATCGCAATGCATTCGTAAGATCTCAGAATCGATCCACGAATAGATTCTGCATTGATTTATCATCACAGCCCTAGCGCAGCTGTCTTATGGCCATAGTTGCAGGCCTTTTTTTAATGGCACCAGCAACTAGTGGGTTTGACAGAAGCCTGTAGCAACCAACAGTACCATGTGAAAGTGGTAAAATTTGCACAAAAACTCCATGGGAGAGTTTTACATCTCCACGATGACCAAATTAACTATAGAGATGCATATGCAAAGAAGAAAGAGAAACGGGTACAAAAGAGGCGACCCAAAAACAAGACCGATATTAACTAGTCAGTCATTGTGAGAGACAAACATTCATTCACATGGAGACAGTCCTTAAAGAAAAGAACCAACTAATGAAATCTCTAGACAGACAAGGACAAAGCAAGGGAAATGAGATAGAGAGAGAGAGAGAGATATTAAAAAGAGAAAGTATCTGACCTGAGAGATGTGGTTGATGGAGGACTCCATCCTGCGCAGCTGCGAGGCCTGGATATCCAACAACTGCAGGACATTGTTGGCTAAGGCATTGATCTGGTAGGCCACGCTTGCCAGAGACTGGGTGGTGTAGGCTTTGGTCTCTTCCAAGGCTTTCCTCTTATCCTGTGCCTGCAGGTCAAGGTCAGAAAAACACCTTAATTCACATTTTCACAATAACAGCGTTCATTTCAACAGTCTCAGCTAGACCTCTTACAAACTGCCCATGGACCGTCTCATATAGAAACAAAAATAACTGGCTAAAATCATTCCTATCTGCCTGGTTTAAATGTAACTTCTAGGAGAAAAACTGTGAAAGTTTTTAAATCAGACTGGGGAAAACACAGCCACGTTTACAGGGTAACAAGTTGTTACAGTAAGCAAAGCAATGGTCAAGTCACTGAATTTGATCAAATTAGCAACCTGTCTCATATAGAAACAAAAATAACTGGCTAAAATCATTCCTATCTGCCTGGTTTAAATGTAACTTCTAGGAGAAAAACTGAAAGTTTTTAAATCAGACTGGGGAAAACACAGCCACGTTTACAGGGTAACAAGTTGTTACAGTAAGCAAAGCAATGGTCAAGTCACTGAATTTGATCAAATTAGCAACCTATGTGGTTTGTGAGCAAACAAAATATTCAATCAAAACTGTAAAATAGGTGTTATTTTCAGGGCCATGTTGGTGCGTATTTTAATTAGTTTCACACATGTAAACATTCCTTTCTCATATGCTACATCATTGTTTAGTAAACTGCTTCATTGTAAAGCGGTCTGCTGCTGTGGTATCTTCAATTTCCCATCAAGGTTTGTGGACATAATAATGAGAAATATTTACAGATATTCACAGTTTTCTACTTAATCCAGTCATTCTCAACCAAGGGGTCGGGGCCTGACTGCCTAGAAAAATATATACATATCAGTGCTCTCAAAGGATTAATCGCATCCAAAATAAAAGTTTTTGTTTACATAATATATGAGTGTGTACTGCGTATATTTATTATGTATACTATATAAATACAAACGCATGCATGTATATATTTAAGAAAATATGTTTTGTTTATATATTAAATATATTTATATATAATATAAAATACAATAATTAAGTATAAATGTATATACACATGTAAATATTTTCAAAATATATACTGAATGTGTGTGTATATTTATATATACATAATAAATAGTACATATACATAATGTAAACAAAAACTTATTTTGGATGCGATTAATCGTATGACAGCACTAATACATATACATTTGATATTGTATATTCTAGATTTACAAAAGTTCTAAAATATTTTCGAATTAGAAATAGATTTTGAGTTGAGTTTTTTGTTTTTATCCTTAAACCTGGTCCACCTTGTAAATCACAAACAACTGGTAAAATCATTTGAAATATTTGAAAACTGTTGTTGCCTTGGAGTCATACATTTCAAAACAAAGTAAATAATTGACATAACAAAAATAATTTGTTATAACAATAATAGTAATAATTTGTGTAAAAAAAAAAAAAAAACTATTCCCATTTTTATGTGTTATAATTATATGTGTTTACTTAGTATTGTGTCTGTCAAAAGCTGAAATAAAACAAAAGTTACTTTTGGTTCTGTATATGTATTATAGGATAATTCAACAAAAAATGTACTGCAGAAAAAAAGGTCTTATCTTTCACCTACATTGTGGATGCTAGCTTAAAAGAGTTCTGAACGGCAAAACTGTTCTGAAACAAACAGAATGAAACAAAAATCAAAGCGGAGTTAACCACAACCGCACAGAAACGAAACTCTTTGTTTTTTTTAATTGTGGTATTTTCAGTTCTCCATTTGGCCAACCTCTGTGGTACACTGAGATATCATTGAGGTAAACAATCTGTCATGCAAGACCTTTTGTGAAAAGACACGGATACATGTGCAGGTAAAACATTACTAAAGCACCTGCAGTGAGAAGGAAACCATGGTCTGCATTTTGACAACGCAGTTCTGTATGTACGTTTTTATGATGAAATTAATCATATATTTGAAAAGATTTAGTTTTATCACATATAGATTTGTTTGGATGGAAAATATGGGCCAGATGTGTTGTAGAGTTCCTGCCTGAAAGAATGAAGAAGTGCTTCCTCCAGAGAGTGATAAAACAGCAGCAGCAGTTTGTTAAAGAAGACATTCTGTCTGTATTAAATACATGAACATACACAAGATTTACACATGGGGACTACAGCTCCACAGGCATTCCCCATTGCAAATTATGTGGTGAAGGTATGCGATTACATTGTTGTACAGATGTTTCACTGAAACATGGAGCAGAGCTGTTCTTCGGTCAAAAATTTTTCACGTAGGGCCACGTAGGTTTGGACAGCTTTTTTCCCTTAATACATGAAATAATCATTTAAAAACTGCATTTTGTATTTACTTGCATTATCTTTGTATAATATTTAAATTTGTTTGATGATCTGAAACATTAAAGTGTGACAAACATGCAAAAAAATAAGAAATCAGGAAGGGGCCAACACTTTTTCACACTACTGTGTGTGTGTGTGTGTGTGTGTGTGTGTGTATATATATATAAATAAATATAAGGGTTGTGACTGAGGAAATTTTATATATACACACACACACAGGTGCATCTCAATAAATTAGAATGTCGTGGAAAAGTTCATTTATTTCAGTAATTCAACTCAAATTGTGAAACTCGTGTAATAAATAAATTCAATGCACACAGACTGAAGTAGTTTAAGTCTTTGGTTATTTTAATTGATGATGATTTTGGCTCACATTTAACAAAAACCCACCAATTCACTATAAAGTAAACTCTCCTTTAATTGGTCAGAGTGCATCTGTTTATTTTCCGGAATTCCACTCAAAGTTGTCATCCGTCATCGTCAATATATATACAGTATATACAGTGGGTACGGAAAGTATTCAGACCCCCTTAAATTTTTCACTCTTTGTTATATTGCAGCCATTTGCTAAAATCATTTAAGTTAATTTTTTTTCCTCATTAATGTACACACAGCACCCCATATTGACAGAAAAACACAGAATTGTTGACATTTTTGCAGATTTATTAAAAAAGAAAAACTGAAATAACACATGGTCCTAAGTATTCAGACCCTTTGCTCAGTATTTAGTAGAAGCACCCTTTTGATCGAATACAGCCATGAGTCTTTTTGGGAAAGAGGCAACAAGTTTTTCACACCTGGATTTAGGGATCCTCTGCCATTCCTCCTTGCAGAGCCTCTCCAGTTCTGTACTTTACCACGACATTCTAATTTATTGAGATGCACCTGTTTATAGCCTAGCTTTATTATGTTTTTCTCCGCTCGCAGAAGCATTGCAGGTGCGTGATGTGATATGATGACCATGTGAATCCTTATGTTCTGTTGTTTGCTGCTTTTTGCACATGTAAAAGTAATCCCTGGGAAACAAATGTTAGTATTTTTTAATGGGTCACAGACACTTATTCTTTCTAATTTAATTCAATTCTAATTTAAAATAAATCTCCATGCTGAAGAACAAGTCAAAACACTCTCCTCTTCGAGAGCAGAATGTGGGGATTTGTTTGGATTTCCTGTAGTGCTGACAGCCAAGCTCACTCTGCTCTAATACATATACTGAAGGAAATGCACTCTGAATATCAGGTGAAAAAATGCTAGGAATGTCCCTTATTAACACTGTGTAACCCTAGTGAAGACGCCCCCCTCTGCTTTGCTCTCTTGACAGGAAGAGGTAAAGGGATATGACACATCCAAAAGTTTGTGTTTGTGGGTGTAGTGGCATTCTAGCATTTGTAAAAAACTCAGCTTTGAGACTAGTTCACCATTATACTAAACTAATCCACTAGTCGCTTAGAGTTTATGATACTGAATGCAATACTAATGTTAATAACTTGAATCTTTAAAGTGCTACTATATTTTTAGTTTTTCGCTTTCAATATTTGTAACTGCTTTATTTAGCATATGCATTATAATTTAGACAGTTTGCAGTTGTAAAACTCTTGTCTTAAGAACATATTCCGAGATCACTGCGTTCCAATCCATAATGTTTGTCTATATTGGAATACAAGACCACACTTTACGTAACCATTCTCTAATACACACTCAAAAACTAATCAGACACCAGTCTGATTACTCAGGGTTTCCTTAAAGGGATGGTAAACTCAAGAGAATACTCTTGAGTTTACCATCCCTTTTTTATTGGGAAAAAACATACATCTCTTAAGGCCTGTTCACACCAAGAACGATAACTATGAAGATAACGATATTAACGTCTACACCAGCGAATGATATCATCTGTTTATTTTCAATGCATGCTCATCAGCCGCTTTAAATTCTCGAGCTCGTTATAGCAGGATTGATTCTGATTGGGTGTCAGTGTTATCATTGTTCATTAGCTGGAAAAAATCGTTCTGAAAGTGATTCCAACAATATTGTTTATCTGTGCCTTTATCATTATAGCTGTGGTGAGAACCATTGATTTTTTTTAACTATATCTTTATCGTTATCTTTATAGTAGTGCTGTCAAATGATTAATCGCAAAATCGCATCCAAAATAAGTTTTTGTTTACATAATAGATGAGTGTGTACTGTGTATATTTATTATGTATATATAAATACAAACACATGCATGTATATATTTAAGAAAAATATGCTATGTTTATATATTCAATATATAATACAAAAACCAGTCCGAAAACCAGTCAGTATCTGGTGTGACCACCATTTGCCTCAAGCAGTGCAACACATCTCCTTCGCATAGAGTTGATCAGGTTGTTGATTGTAGCCTGTGGAATGTTGGTTGACTCCTCTGCAATGGCTGTGCGAAGTTGCTGGATATTGGCAGGAACTGGAACACGCTGTCGTATACGCCGATCCAGAGCATCCCAAACATGCTCAATGGGTGACATGTTCGGTGAGTATGCTGGCCATGCAAGAACTGGGATGTTTTCAGCTTCCAGGAATTGTGTACAGATCCTTGCAACATGGGACCGTGCATTATCATGCTGCAACATGAGGTGATGGTCGTGGATGAATGGCACAACAATGGGCCTCAGGATCTAGTCACGGTATCTTTGTGCATTCAAAATGCCATCAATAAAATGCACCTGTGTTCGTTATCCATAACATATGGGCC